CCAGTGTGATCTCGATAAAATAAAGTAAAATAAAATAGAGAAAGTTCAAAACCAGAAAAAATATGCAAGATGGGAGATCAGAGACATAAAAGATTAAAATGAGATAATGAGAGAGTGTAAAAATTAAGACAAATTTAAAGGTAAAAATATGGAAATAAAAATTTAGAGGGGCTGGCCCTGTGGCCAAGTGGTTAGGTTCGCGTGCTCTGCTTCGGCAGCCCAGGGTTTCACCGGTTCAGATCCTGGGCGCGGACATGGCACTGCTCATGAAGCCATGCTGAGGCAGCATCCCACATGCCACAACTAGAAGGACCCACAACTAAAATATACAACTATGTACCTGGGAGCTTTGGGGAGAAAACGGAAAAAAATAAAATCTTTAAAAAAAAATTTTAGAAAGAACACTGTAAATGAGAGAATTTCCTAAAATTCATATTTAAAGGAGTCCATGTAAAATAAAAAATAAAAGAAACAAAAGAACAAAGAACTAGAAAATAAAAAATGAAACCTAAAAAGTTAAGAATAATATGCTGATGAAATCCTGACAAAATAAAATTAACAGTTAAAAACATTTAAAAAGATGAAATTTTAAATAGGAACTAGAAGGTAAAAGAGAAATTAAAGTAAAGGCTAAGACCTATGAGGCAAAAACGTGGGAATGTTCTAGAAGCATTTAGATTTTAAATGTTAAGATAAAATTAATACTATAAAGATAGAAGGAAAAGAAAAATATATATTTTTAAAACTGAGGTTAAAGTGAGACAAGAACAAAAAGTCTATAATCAGACAGACTACAAGTGGTCTGGGTGGGTCTTGTTGTTGCAGTTGAGGACCAAGAACAGTTGATACGCTGATGAGACAGACGTTCTGCTCACCCACAGCACTCTTAGCCGTCAGCACAAAGACAAGGCTCACGACACTTTGATGCATCCCACAGCTGAGCTGGGGCCTACCAAAGTTGCACCCCAGACCAGCAAACATTCCTTCACTTTGATTCTTGGAATATGTTCAATTCTACCTTAGTTTTTCCTTAACTTATTTAATAGTCCTTGCATTATCTTTTACTTCCTTCAAGGTGAAATTTGCATGCGAAAGGCAATCAAAACATACTTATTCCTTCTTATCTTCTGGAAGTTCTTGTGCTGCCTGGTCATCACACTGTTGTTTTCACACACACACACACACACACACACACACACACACACACACACTGCCTTTATCACCTTGATTCGTTCTTCTTTGAGGTTGCAACACTTCTTAGTGGTTGTGAGTTGCCGGGTTATTTGCTCCTTTCAGTGTAATTGGTGGGAGTGGACTTGGGTGAGGGCAATGAGGTGATCTACAGGCCTCGTTCTTGTAGGGTGAGGCTGTTAGGGCGAGGGGGTGGTGGTGAGGGAAAGTGGAGGAGTTGAGAATGACTCCCGAGTGTCTGGGTTCTGCCTTTGTCACTGGGTGGATGTTACTAAAGGAGAAGACCAAGTTGGGGGTAGTGGTGGAGAGGAATCAGCGTGGGGCTGGACCTGGAAAGCTCTGGGGCAGCTATAGCTATCTATAATCCCTAAACTCCCAGGAAGGCTTGGATTTCACAACAGACACCATCTCTCCCAATGCCAAAATGGAATTCTTCTGGAGGCGGCAGATGGCTCACTTCACACACCAACAGGGCATGGTATCCCTGGTCCTCTACTCAAATCCTGGGCATTCCTCAAAGCATCTTGCATTATTAATTGGCCATCCATCATCCAGAGTCCAAAGTCAGACAAAGCACATCACCTGGAACATTCCATGCCTACACCACCATGGAAATACAGAGTTCACCCACGACTCCCTGCCTTTCTCTAAAAATACGCACTTCATAGCAATGATAAGTTTCTACCTCTTGAGGCACCATTGAAATCTCCCAGAACCCCAGTCAAATTAAGCCTAATGAATCACTTTAGCTCTTCAACAGAAGGATGCTGGCTCAGTGAGCCAAGGAGTCGAAAGAAAGATTTCTTGGACTCTCAAGGTCTGGTAGTAATGCTCCTTTATTCAGAGACTGGCATGGAGTAGCATGGGGACAGGACCCATGGGCAGTAAAGAGCTGCAGCATGGGTTAAGGGTAGGGCTAAATTTATAAGGCATAGGTATGTGAGTTATCTCTTACAAGACAAAGAGAAGATTAGGTAAAAAAGTTGTTAAAATGGTATCAGTTTAGGTGGGCTCTGGTTATTGGGTGGTCCTATAACTTTAGATAAGAATCAGACTGGATCAGGTCAGGATATCCTGTGCTTCCCAGAGGATGATATAGATCCGTATGTAGGGCAGGATGCCTTGGGTTTCTCCCCCTGGGGCAGCCTTGATCCTCATCAAGAACACAGTTCTTTAGAATACATGCTCTTAGTCAAGGCTGCCAGGAGAATGTGGTAGACTTTATCTACCATACTTCAAGGATCTTGGCCTTCCTTTTTCTAACTTACAAGTAGAGTTCTTCCTTCTGTTTACAGAACAATTGATTTAGCTTTCCTTTACCAAATTGTAACCATTTTCTGATCTTGCCTTGCTGATGTTACATCTAGGCCCCCTCTACTGATATTTTGTGATGCGGGCTCGGTGAGTCAAGGAGTCAAAAGAAAGATTTCTTGGACTCTCAAGGTCTGGTAGTAATGCTCTTCTATTCAGAGAATAGCATGGAATAGCATGAGGACAGGACCCATGGGCACTGAAGAGCTGCAATGTGTTGAGGGTTAGAACTAAATTTATAAGGCATAGGTATGTGAGTTATTTCTCTACGAGACAAAGGAAAGATCGTGAAAAGAAATCGTTAAAATGGTATCAGTGCAGGTGGGGTCTGGTTATTGGGTGGTCCTATAACTTTAGATAAGAAATCAGATTGGATTAAGTCGGGATGTCCTATGCTTCCCAGAGGATGTAGGGCAGGACACCTTGGGCTTCTCCCTGGGGCAGGAGCAGCCTGGATCCTCATCATTTTGGGTGTTCCTAAACTCTTCAGCCACACATTTAGAATTTCATGGTTTACTCCCATAGACAGCTGGCCACATCCATTGTGGATAGATTTACAGTCTCTCAGAGAAGAAGCATATTTCTCTTTTTGGGGGAGCTTATTGTAATACTTGTTATAATGGGAATGGACTGGAGGTATGCTGGTGGGGCGAGCCTCTCACTTGTCAGTCTAGAGTATGTGGTTTTCCTTTGGTCCACATGAGGAAGCCCAGATCTCACTCCACTTACAGGAGTTAGGGATATGTCCACCCAGCCCTGCAGGCTTCACCGGCTGACACCATACTCCATGCCAGCTGTCCAGTTAAAATGGGATCTGCCTGATGAACTTATTGTTCATCACCTGATCTAACGTCCATGCCCATCTTCCTCTACTTTATATGTGGGACCCTACCACAGCACCGCGTGCCAAGCGGTGCCATGTCTGCACCCGGGATCTGAACTGCTTAGTTAACTGCTGCCCCACCGGGCCAGCCCTCATCTTTTATGTTTTTAATCTTTTGTTTTTTTCCTTTTCTGGGTCTTCCCATCCCTGGCTCCACTGGGCCTTCTCCCACCCACTGAATCCCTGGACCTCCACCACCCTCGGCCTCCTGCCCCCGCTGGGCTTCTTCCATCCTCCACAGTTTGAATAAACAAGGTTTGCCTACATCACAGTTTTGCTGAGGGTTCTGAAGGGACCTGTGTGAACAATGAAAACCAAAGGCTCATGGGTTCATTCATTCTTTAAATAAACATTGATTGAGGACTGTGTGTGGCAGGCACTGTAGATGCAAGGTTAAATAAATATTTTCTACCTTTAAGGATCTCAGTTATTAGTAAAGGAATCCTGAAATTTGCAAATACCATGACAGTGCTTTTTAAAACATTAAGGCATTCAGTAAAATTTAATCTATCTCTTTTCCTTGCTTCCATATGGAGCATATGGAGGTGGACTCCTTCACCACACAGATTCAAGCCACTGTCGACTTTGAAAGTGTGTTCCTGAATTTTGATTTTTCCATGGTCACCATTGGGCAGTTGATCTCCACAGCATTTGACACTGGCGACCACCCCGTTAGCGAAATTCTTTCCTCTCCTCCTGTCACCTCTGTAGTCCTTCAACTGAACATTCTGGCTGTAGTTGGAGGTTTCTTTTCCTCTGCTCACACCTACAATATTGGTGTTTTCTAGGTTCCATCCTTAACCATTCTCTTTTCTCTACACCCTTTCCTGGGCAGGCCACAGTGACTTTTCAGTGGGTTTCCCCACCGAGCCTACTCTCTGCCCTACCCTTTTACTTGGTTGATGTGTCTCTCCACCATCCATTTTTCCCTACCGTGTCTGGGTAGGCCCCCTGCGCAGGCTCCTGTAGCTTCCTTGATTTGCCCATCCCCGTATGCAGGACGCTGCCCGCCTGCCCTCCCACCAGCCTGTGCATTCTGAAGGCAGGGACCACGCCTGGGTTGCCCATCTCTGTATCCCCAGTGCCAGCCCTGCATCTAGCCCCGAGCAGGTGTCCCGTAAATGAAACAACGAGTAAAACGGTGTCACAAAAAAGAGCCGGCGTGGCTACACCCGGGGGCAAGAAGCGGGGCGAGACGCCTCAGGGCTGGCGGATCCTGCGGGGTGAGAGTGGGCCCCGCGGAGCACAGCTCGAAGGGCCTGGGCTGGGCGGGAGGGCGTCCGCCGGTGGCTGGCCCCGGTGCAGGGGGCTGAAGACGGCCCGCGCCGGGAAGGAAGGTGTCTCAGAAGCTACCCCGGTAGAGCCACCAGCCCCAGCCATTCGCCCCCGCCGCAGCGGAACTAGGCGCGCCCACCGCCTCCGCCGCGCACTCGCCCTGCGCATCGCTCTTGGCCCCTTCCGGCCACCGTTGCTCTCTGTACCGCCGCGCCCGTGACCCGGAAGAGCATTCTCCTTAGCAACTGAGGGACCGCGGCGCGGCCGGCCTCCCGGGAGCAACGGTGAGGCCCTCCCGCCCCCGTCCCGCGCGCCCCACCTCGACCCTTTCCCAGGACCGACCCCTGGGCTGGCCGGCAGGGCTCCGCGGCGCTTCGCGGGGCACCTGCGGCGGCTGCGCCGGCCGAGGGCCCTCCGCTCCTGGCGTCGCGCCTGCCCACCTCACGCCCCCGGCTCCCCGCAGACCGGCCTCGCAGGCCCGGCTCCTCGCGCCCAGGCCCCGCCGGCCCGCCCCTGGAGCCCAGCGTGGTGCGCGGGGAGGAAAACCGGAGTTAGAGAGCCAGCTGCTGTAGAGAGGACGCCTCCCGGGGCTCGGGTCACCTGTGGGCGCGTGCTTCTGGGTCCTGATCCGGATGTTTGGGACTGGCAGGGATGGGGCGCCTCAGGAGCCTGGGACGGCAGCCTCTTAACTGTAATACTTGATGTTTGCTTGCTGCTTTGCGCTTTCCAAAGCGATATACTTTATCTGCTTTGTTGCTTGTGAGACTCATCTAATTCGACGCTTTGATCCTTTTCCATGGAAGTAGCGTTCCAGTGTTTAGTGACGTGTGGGTAGTAGTCTGTAGTTTAGATGTGGTGTCTTCTAATTTTCTACAGAGGAACTCTCCCTGGGATTCAGTAGGTTTGGGAAGAATTTCTAGTGAAATTTGCTACATGGAAGAAAGTAGGCCAGGTGTTGTTAATACCTCTGGTTTACATTCGAAAACAGACTCGATATAATCTCTATCAAATTTCCAGCTGGCTTTTTTTCAGAAATTGGCAAACTAAAATTTATATGGAAATATAAGGGACTGAAAACCTCCTTTATTTGAGTTGAAGGAACAATATTAAGAAAACACCAAGCCTTATTTGAGCATTGTTGGGTAACGACTTTATATTTAATCCAGTGACGATAGAGCTAAAACTGAGGCATATGAAGAATTTTCGGGGATGACATTATTTGGGAATAAAACACAAGAGTTTATATATCAAAATCCATTATTCAAAGCAGTGTAATTTCATTTCAGTTCTATAAGTACTTGTTAAGCACCTACAGTGTTATTTGCACCTGAAAAGATATATAAGAAACAAGAGACGGCACATATTAAACTATTAGAAAATATAAAATAGCATTTGTTTAAATGCAAAATCGGAGGAGAGATCACTATGGGCTGGAGTTTTCAGGAATACGTTTATGGATTATATTTCTAAAGTATAGATACTGTTTGTCTCTTGATTTCTTTCTAAACTATAAATAAAACTGATATTTGTATTGGAGGGGACAGGGAATCCTAAATAATTTCTTTCCTTACATTCTTAAGGGTTTGGGAAATAGTCCATGTGACATTTTGTAGCCTTTGTTTAAAGCTCTAAGGTCATTTGATTGCAGTATCTATTTCTTTCACTCTTAGCCCAATTATGTCTGGCATTTTTCATTTTTGAGATCTAAAATAATGAGGCTACTGGCAGAGGGCTTTGCTATGTAGAGCTTCTTTCCTTTCCTTCTGCAGTTGGTCTTACTTTCATATGAGACACCACAGTTAGTTACTGTTTCATACATACTTGAGTCTTGTGAAATGTTGTTCTTTATTCATTTGACAGATATTTCCAGAGTCCTTCCCATGTAGCAGGCGCTGTATCAGGGAATACCAGAGCGACAGTTACTCAGCAGCTAGTAGCTTTGCTTTATCTGTGGGGTGTGTGTGCCTTTAACTTATCGGTCTTTGATGCTCAGCATTTGCCTAGAGACATAGAAGGGCCAGAGAAATTTATACAGGCATCTGAATTGACTATTTTTTTAAAAGAGTTGAATAGGGATTTTTGGCTCAATTGCTTTGGGCCTCCTCCAAAGATTCATTTGTGAGGATGCACAGACTCTTAAGGAGACCTCTTACTATGTTTTATTGCTTTCTTACAGGTTTAGTGCCCGTTTATTCACTTACTCAACAAGTGTTTGAGTGCTTACTTGGTACTAGGCGCTGTGGTTGGTGTTGGAAATGGGGAGGAGTGAATGCATGCGTGGTCCCTGTCCCCAGCAGATGGTACCAGATAATCACGTGAATGTAGAACTGCAACTGTGATTGTGTTTGAGTTAGAGAAGTCACAGAAGTGACGTTTGAACTGATATCTGAAAGGTGCTCAGGAAAGGGGGAGTGTTCAGTCAGAGCAAATAGCCAAGGGCAAGCACCCTGTGATGGCAGGGTTTGGGGAGAGGACTGGGACTTAAGGTAGAGCTTTCTGTGTGGAGCAGGGAGAGCGTAGAAGAATCTGGTGGGAGAGGGGCCTGGAGGAATTTTTCTTTATCCTTGGAGTAAAGAGAAGCCTCTACGTGATTTTATTTAGAGATTTAGGCTGGATTGCAAGTGGGGATGACACAATTAGGTTGTGTTTGAGTAGCCTGCTTTGTATTTCTGCCGTTGCTTAGTGTTTGTTGTCTTCTCTTTCCTCATTTTCTCAGCATGCTTGCTCAGCTTTACTGTGGTTGGGGCAGCCTCCCTGTCCCACTAGCAAGTTGTGTCCACGTATTTTTTTAAATTGGGGGAAGAATTTTAGGGATTAGGATTGACACTACTGGTTCGTTGATTTGAAATATTTTTGCATCAGTGTGACTGCTAGGGCACTAATTTCTGTGATTCATTCTTTTTAATTGTGGTTAAGAAAAATACATTATATAAAATTTGCCCTCTTAGCCATTTTTACCTGTACAGTTCAGTGGTGTTAACTATATTTGCGTTGTTGTGTAACAGATCTCTGGGACTTTTTCGTCTTGCAAAGCTAGACTCTGTACCCATTGAACAGCTCCCTATTTCTCCTTCCCTCCAGCTCCTGGCAACCACCCGTCTACTTTCTGTTTCTGTGATTTTGACTACTCTAGATGTCTCCTATAAGTGAAACCCTACGAGATGTGTCTGTTTTTACCTTCATGTTCCTCTCCTAGAATGTCCTTCCTTCTCGCATCAGTCAGTTCAAATCCTGCCAAGTCTTTAGGCCTAGTTCCTCTCCCTTTTCTTTCAGCTTGGATTAATAGACCCAGAGGGGAAGAGACCTTAGAAATCATCCTGTCCAACCTTCTCTTATTATAGACGAGAAAGTAGAGTCCTGGAGAAGTTTCAGTGATTTGCCCAAGGACAGACATCTGGTGAGTAGGGGCAGAGTTGGGACTCGAGCTCTGGTCTTTCAACTCCTGGGTGCCTTTTCTGCTTCGGCCTGCTTACATGTTGCGATTTAATCCTCTGTCCTCTAATTAGACCAGAAGTGCCACTAGGGCACAGAAACTGGTTTCCGTATCCCTACAGCACAATGCTGAGGCGCATGAAATGCCTAGGAAATATTTGCTGATGGATTGATTGTGTTCATGACTTTCATTGCCTGAAAGGTGGCTCCACACAAAATCTTGAACTTCGTCGATTCAGAGCCTTAATTATATTAATCAAATTTACGTTGGTCCCTCTGGAGTCGACGAGTTCTTTCACTTTTGCGGTCAGAGTTGAGACGTGCTCACCTTTTCCTAACGCTCTCTTTATTGCATGTATTTGCCCCTGGCATGTGTGCTTGGGTTCCTCTGCACATTTTGATGAAAATCTAATGAAAAAGCAATCAAAAGTGAAAAACCTAATGCATTAACTTTTTAGGTTAGCTGATTTATTTTGAGGCAAAGGTTTATGCTTATTTGTGAGTTTTATTGCTGCTAAATGTTTTTGAAAGAATCATTCTTATATTACATTTTATAGTGCTCATCTCAGAATGCCTATGGACCGGTTGGTCTTGGACACTGCACTGGAAATGATTTTGAGATGGCTCAGTAGTTTAAGGGCAAAAAAAGTGTGAGAGCGTTTTCTTGTGTGAGGAAGATTTGTAAACTTATTTGCAGTTTCCCCACTTATCCTAGACTTTGTTTTCCTATAATGTAGGACCAGCTTTATAGAATCCAGTTTTTAGAATGTCCTTTTATTTTAACCTTCAAAAAATTTCTTATTTTGGGGGAGTTGCTGTGGGAAAAAAAGTTCATTTTCGTTGAAATACTTCCGAGCCCATATACGAATCAAACTATGGGCCTGGGCTGGATCCGAGATCCCTCTGAAGTCCAGCCGTCTGTGCCATTATTGGTGATGTTGGGGAAACTTGGCCAGAATTCTTGTTGTCTTCACTAGACTGAGGGCGGTGGTGGAACTGCACAAGATGCTCCTTTGTGTCATATGACAGGAGATAGAACGATTTGACAACAAGGACTTTTCAGATGGCGTTTCATTTGGAACCACAGCAAGAACCAGATGCCCCAGAGTTACAATTATGTGATTAACTCTCGTGTTGAGGCTAGAATTGATCAGTTTAGTCAATTGTTAGTTTAAAAAACTACCTATTTTCCCCATTTTTTTTATTTTGGTAAAATACTCATAGCATAAAATTTCCCATCTTAACCATTTTTAAGTGTACAGTTCATTGGTTTTAAATACATTCATAATGGGATACGCTAATGGTGGCAGACAAGAGACAGTGTTCATACTGGCGGGAAAAGACTTTCATATGGCACAAAGTACCTTGAAAATGTCTCTGATGAAATCACCTGGGGATAAGGGCTGCTGAGGTACTTTGCCCTCAGAAAAATGCCTTCCTGTTAGAAAATAAAGAGGAGGAAGGGGATTATAATTTTTGGAGACCCTCCTATGTGTCAAGTAATTCACATGCATATATCATTTAATACCAATTCATGTCCAATGAGAAAGGTGATTTGACTCGTTTACTGATGATAAAATTGAGGCTCAGGGAGTTTACTTAAGTCATAAGGCAGTAAGTTTTAGAACCAAAGATGGACCCATGTCTATCTGATTCCTGCAGCATGCTACTTTAAATTCAGTGAAATCGGAACCTGGGCGTGAGAACTCTGGGCCTGAGAACATCAACATAAATACTATAGGGACAATAAAGAAAAGGGCAAGTAATGATGTAGGCTGATATAGTAGGAAGTTACCTGTTCCCTGTGGCTTAAAAATCTTTCAAATGAAGGAAAGTAGTTGTTGGAGTGTCTGGTAGACTTGAGAGCTTGGGTACCCAAACCAAGAGGAGGCAGGGAGTTACATGATGCTAACTGAGGAACTCTGCTTTTTAGGTTCCTCTGCAGGCTTTCTGTAATGAAATCGGGTTGTTTCTATTTCCCATTAGGCTTTGATGAAGAAGAGAGGTTTGTCGTGGTTGTCTGGGTGCTGCGGGATTCAGAGAGAAGCCGCAAACCTTGCTGTTTAACTTGACCTCACTTAGAGAACATTTCTCCACATGGGAAATAGTTGCTCCTTTCTCTCTTCGCCATCGTCAGCTGTCATCAGTTTTAAAGGGTTGAGTATGAAACCATAGTGGCAGCTATACCAGGGAGGAGGTAACAGCACGTTGGCATTTTTGTTTAACCCTACTTAAAATAAAATCAACAAGTTACATGGTTTGTATTCTTTTTAGTTATTTTAAGTTTTTAAAATGAAAAAATATTTGAATTGTTCAGAGATGTTTTGCTCCAATAAGACAGTTTTCTTTATGATTTATTGAATTTTGCCATTTCAAATCACTCACTCAATAGTTTGGAAGTAAGGATGGCCTATGAATTTTATGGCTAAAATACACATTATTGACAAGGAATAATTTTAAATGAATGAATTAGGGTCCAATTTGTATTATGAAGGATTATTAATTGTTGGTTAAGACCATATTTTTTAAAAGCTGATTTCAGCTATGGTTGACATACTATAAACTGTACATATTTAAAGCGTACAATTTGTAAACTTTTGACGTATGTGTATACTTATGAGACTCTCATCAGAAACGAGATAGTGAACATATCCATCACCCCCGAAGCTTTCCTCATATCCCTGACTCCTTGACCCGCATCCCAGACAACCACTGATCTTTCTGTCATTATATATTAATTTCATTTCCTAGAATTTCCTAGAATCTTATATAAATGGAATCGTATAGTATGTACTTAGGCTTTTTTCACTCAGCATAATTATTTTGAGATTAATCAGTGTTTTTTAGTCTATCAGTAGTTGATTCCTCTTTAATGCTGAGTAATATTCCTTTGAATGGCTGTACACAGTTTACTAATACATTGACCTATTTGATGGACATGTTGGTTGGTTCCAGTTTTTAGTTGGTAACAAATAATGCTGCTATGAAAATTTGTGTACAAGTCTTTGTGTGGACATATACTTTTGTTTCTTTGGTTAAATACCGAGGAGTAGAATGGTTGAATCATATGATAGGCATATGCTTAACTTTTAAAGAAACCATCACAATTTTCCAGAGTAGCTGTACTCTTGCACCACCAGCAGTGTATAAGAGATCCAGTTCCTCCACATCCTTGTCAACACTTGGTATGGTCGGTCTTTTACATTTTAGGCATTCTAATAGATATGTAGTGGGATCTCGTTGTGGTTTTACTTTGCATTTCCTTAATGGCTAGTGATGCTGAGCATCTTTTCATGAACTTATTTGCTATCCTTGTAACTTCTTTGGTGAAGTGTCTGTTCAGATCTTTTGTCCATTTTTAATTGGGTTCCGTGTTTTCTTATTACTGAGCTTAGAAGTTCTTAATATATTCTGGAGGTGAGTCCTTTTTCAGACACAGAATTTGCAAATGTTTTCTCTCAGTCTCTTTTTATTCTCTTAATGGTGTCTTTTGAAGAACAGAAATTCTTAATAAAGTCCAATTTATAACTTTTTCTTTTATGGATTGTGCTTTTGTTGCTTTATCTAAGAAATCTTTGCCTAAGTTAATATCACAAAGATATTCTCTTATGTTCTTGAAGTTTTAATTTTAGGTTTTACATTTTGATCTATGATATACTTCGAGCTACTTTTTATGTATAGTGCAAGGTATGGATCAAAGTTCATTTTGTTACTTACGGAATCTAATTGTTCTAGAACTATTTGTTGAAAAGACTGTTCCTTTACTAAATTGCCTTGTACCTGGGTTGTACCTAGGTTGAAAATCTACTTATATTTCTATTTCTGGGCTCTCTTTTCTGTTCCATTGATCAATTTGTCTATCTTGATGATAATATTACACTGATTTGATTACTGTAGTTTTATTATAAGACGAAGTCAGATAGCGTAAGTCCTTCAACCTTGCTATTCTTTTTCCAGATTTTGGCTTTTTGAGGTCCTTTTCATTTCTATGTTAATTTTAGAATCAGCTTGTCAGCTTTTCCAAAAAGTCTGCTTGAGAATTTGGGGTTGTACTGAATCTGTAGATCAGTTGGGGGGCGGGGATTTCCATCTTAACAATGTTGAGTCTTCCAAACCATGAACATGCTTTGGAGTCTCAATTTATTTAGGTTTTCTTCAGTTTCTCTCAGCAATATTTTGTGGTTTTCACTGGGCAAATCTTGTACACCTTTTGTCATAGTTGTCCCTTTGTATTTCATGTTTTTTGATGCTATTGAAATGGTGGTTTTTTAATTTATATTTTTGACTTGCTAGATTGATTTTTGTACATTGATCTTCTCTGTCAACCAGACTATACTCATTTATTCTAATAGCTTTTTTATAGATTCCATTGGGTTTTCTACATAAAGATTATGTCATCTGCGAATACATACAATTTTACTTTTTCCTTTCTAACTTTCAATTTTTTTCTTATTGCACGGGCTGTAATTCCCAGTACAGTGTTAAGTAGAAGTGGTGGGAGCAGATGTATTTGTCTTGTTGTGATCTTAGGAAAACAGCATTAAGTTTTTTTTTTTTTTAATTAAGGTTATGATAGTTAACACCCTTGTGAAATTACAGTTGTACATCATTATTAGTCATGTTGTAGGTACACCACTTCACCCCTAATGCCCTCCTCCCACCCCCCTTTCCCCTGGCAACCACCGATCAGTTCTCTTTGTCCATATGTTAACTACTACCTGTGAGTGGAGTCATACAGAGTTCGTCTTTCTCTGTCTGGCTTATTTCACTCAACATAATACCCTCAAGGTCTATCCATGTTGTTGTGAATGGGACGACTTCGTCCTTTTTTATGGCTGAGTAGTATTCCATTGTATATATATATACCATATCTTCTTTATCCAATCATCAGTTGCTGGGCACTTAGGTTGGTTCCATGACTTGGCTATTGTGAATAATGCTGCGATGAACATAGGGGTGCATGGG